AGGACTCTTTAAAGTAGAGACACTACATACTGATATACACTGAACATCAGCAGGAGAGGACTCTTTAAAATAGAGACACTACATATGATATACACCTGAACATCAGCAGGAGAGGGACTCTTAAAGTAGAGACACTACATACTGATATATACCTGAACATCAGCAGGAGAGGACTCTTTAAAGTAGAGACACTACCTACTGATATACATCCTGAACATCAGCAGGAGAGGACTCTTTAAAGTAGAGACACTAATACTGATATACACCTGAACATCAGCAGGAGATAACTCTTTAAAGTAGAGACACTAATACTGATATTACACCTGAACATCAGCAGGAGAGGACTCTTTAAAGTAGAGACACTACCATAACTTACTGATATACACCTGAACATCAGCAGGAGAGGACACTTTAAAGAGAGACACTACATACTGATATACACCTGAACATCAGCAGGAGAGGACTCTTTAAAGTAGAGACACTACATACTGATATACACCTGAACATCAGCAGGAGAGGACTCTTTAAAGTAGAGACACTATATACTGATATACACCTGAACATCAGCAAGAGAGAACTCTTTAAAGTAGAGACACTACATACTGATATACACCTGAACATCAGCAGGAGAGGACTCTTTAAAGTAGAGACACTACATACAGATATACACCTGAACATCAGCAGGAGAGGACTCTTTAAAGTAGAGACACTACATTACTGATATACACCTGAACATCAGCAGGAGAGGACTCTTTAAAGTAGAGACACTACATACTGATATACACCTGAACATCAGCAGGAGAGGACTCTTTAAAGTAGAGACACTACATACTGATATACACCTGAACATCAGCAGGAGAAGGACTCTTTAAAGTAGAGACACTACATACTGATATATACCTGAACATCAGCAGGAGAGGACTCTTTAAAGTAGAGACACTACATACTGATATACACCTGAACATCAGCAGGAGAGGACTCTTTAAAGTAGAGACACTACATACTGATATACACCTGAACATCAGCAGGAGAGGACTCTTAAAGTAGAGACACTACATACAGATATACACCTGAACATCAGCAGGAGAGGACTCTTTAAAGTAGAGACACTACATACTGATATACACCTGAACATCAGCAGGAGAGGACTCTTTAAAGTAGAGGACACTACATACTGATATACACCTGAACATCAGCAGGAGAGGACTCTTTAAAGTAGAGACACTACATACTGATATACACCTGAACATCAGCAGGAGAGGACTCTTTAAAGTAGAGACACTACATACTGATATACACCTGAACATCAGCAGGAGAGGACTCTTTAAGTAGAGACACTACATACTGATATACACCTGAACATCAGCAGGAGAGGACTCTTTAAAGTAGAGACACTACATACTGATATACACCTGAACATCAGCAGGAGAGGACTCTTTAAAGTAGAGACACTACATACTGATATACACCTGAACATCAGCAGGAGAGGACTCTTTAAAGTAGAGACACTACATACTGATATACACCTGAACATCAGCAGGAGAGGACTCTTTAAAGTAGAGACACTACATACTGATATACACCTGAACATCAGCAGGAGAGGACTCTTTAAAGTAGAGACACTACATTACTGATATACACCTGAACATCAGCAGGAGAGGACTCTTTAAAGTAGAGACACTACATACTGATATACACCTGAACATCAGCAGGAGAGGACTCTTTAAAGTAGAGACACTACATACTGATATACACCTGAACATCAGCAGGAGAGGACTCTTTAAAGTAGAGACACTACATACTGATATACACCTGAACATCAGCAGGAGAGGACTCTTTAAATTAAACCCCAAAATGATTGCCTCTACGGAAATAAGCGCTATATATGTATAAAGTCAATTTACCATTTCACCTTTTAATCATACAACATACATAGTCTTGCCCACCGAAAACCCACCACAGATAAAATAACAAATACTGTTTTACACATACACACACACACACACACACACACACACACACACACACACACACACACACACACACACACACACACACACACACACACACACACACACACACACACACACACACACACACACACACACACACACACACACACACACACACACACACACACACACACACACACACACACACTTTGCGTGCCTCGAGGCTCGATCATTCTGTTCTTATGAATATATGTTTGACTCCGGAGCAGGAAGTGCCCCGGACGAATATGGAAATATAGCTCATGCTAATGTGACTTTTCAGAACGGGCAGGTATTAGGCAAATACCAAACACGCAGACACAAGGAAGGCATATATATTTGCATTTGTTGAGGTTTAAAATCAGTGCAGTTGGTAAATATTAGAGTGTACATACAAGGGATATCTGCTTTCCGAATGCATGTTATCACAAAGAAAGCGTTCAATGTGTAACTTATTGAAATGTCCAGTTCTCTCAAATATGAAAAACACATTAGGTTTCATTTGAATGATTGCAGAGCATTCATCTATCTCAGAAGTTACAGAGATGTGTTCGTAAAGGTGCAATTATACCAAAAATGCAATACAAAAATTGTGAATTTGTGATAAATGTCAGGCTGTTAGACTGAATATGGAAACAGAGAGTATGAGTCTTTTCTTTCGTGTTGTTCCCAGTGAATGTCCAGTCGAGGTAAAAGGTCTGGAAATCACCAATCTTGATTTATTCACTATATTTTATGATATGCCACCCAATAGTGTTCAAGATGTGTTCCTAAAAGCTAAACATGTCAACCCACTGATGACTATAGAGGTGATGTCAGGGAACACCAAAGACGAAACAACGTCAACATGAGTGGCGAACCGTGGCCATCACAACTGGACCCTCTGTTGGTTAAAGCCCTTTCTGTCTTTGTGTCAGCTGAATATTTCAAAAATGGAATGGAACTACAATTGAGAACAATAACAAGAGGAAGGAAAGGTGGTTTTCTAATGTTAAAAGAGAATAATGTCACTGGGAGCCGACCAGTTTACAACCAGTTACACCTTCTACCACTTTTAATGCTTTGCTTTGAATCCAAACCGCTATGCTATGAGTTGTTGGGCTTTCATAGACTATAAGTGGAGATGTTCTGAGTCACTGCTTAATGGGTATTATTCTGTGTGTGTGTGTGTGTGTGTTTGTGTGTGTGTGTGTGTGAGAGAGAGAGCGAGAGATCACTGAAAGCATTGGATCTCCTCAGAGTCCTGTCCCTCAAGTGAGTCATTACAAGAGCATGAACTATGTTGATGCTGACAGGCAAAGAAAAACAAAGCACACACACACACACACACACACACACACACACACACACACACACACACACACACACACACACACACACACACACACACACACACACACACACACACACACACACACACACACACACACACACACACACACACACAACACACACACACACACACACACACACACACACACACACACACACACCCATGCCACACACACACACACACACACACACACACACACACACACACACACACACACACAGATAGTGGATGAGAACAACTCTCTCATTAACTTGTTCTTGACGTGTTATCTGAGTAGTGCCAACAGCATACATGCACCAGTACACCAGCAAAGCTCATTATCAGTGCAGGCTGTGTGTGTGTGTGTGTGTGTTTGTGTGTGTGTGTGTGTGTGGTGTGTGTATGTGTGTGTGTGTGTTGTGTGTGTGTGTGTGTGTGTGTGTGTGTGTGTGTGTGTGTTAGCAAGTCAGCACACTTGCATTTGGGAGTAATTTCTTCGCTCTACAATATCCGTCAGTGTAAAGTAAACTTTCAGGACAGTACGGCTGCTAAGGGAAGCATATTGATGTTTAGTTTTCTACATGAGTTTCTGTTCATATTGTGGGTTATTAATATCGTTCTCAAGCTTCTTCAGGTTTCAGAATGAGTGCCTGTCTTTGCTCGCCCGGTGATGACAGTATTATAAATTCCTCTGCTCAGGATTTCTGCTCCTGATCCTCAGTTTCATCATCCAGGAGTGTGTGTGCTCCCACCGAGAGAAACCGTTTCAATTCTTAATGTAAGGCTGAGTGCACATTAGCTACAGTGTAGATATGTCAATGATCCTCCAACTGTGCAACATATAAGACATATAACAAATTAGTGCAAGAGAATGTTTTCAGAAGTGCAAGTAAATAGAATGTAATAGATAGTTTCAGAGTCAGACCAGGCACACAGACGGATCTTTACCCACAGATGTGTCATCAACAGGCGGACAAACTCATCAGGAACAAGAGTGGAATAGTGGAGGATGGGTGAGTCACTGTAACTAACATGTTGATGCTTTAACACAAACAAAACACAAAGGGATGTCCTGATCCAATGTTTCTGCCGTCACTATACACCATGACGCTGCACTGTTTCTACGACTCTCAGGTAAAGACTTTTAAATCCTGCTGATGACTGGGGCTCTCTGCAGGGATCGAGTATCCACAACACTAGTTTACAAAGTCCAATACTCAACAGAGTCTGTGTGTGTGTGTGTGTATGTGTGTCTGTGTGTTTTTCTCTGTGTGAGTGTGTGTGTTTCTCTCTCTCTCTGTGTGTGTGTGTGTGTGTGTGTGTGTGTGTGTGTGTGTGTGTGTGTGTGTGTGTGTGTGTGTGTGTGTGAGAGAGAGAGAGAGAGAGAGACAGTGACGCAGAGAACGAGACAAACATTAAATTAAAGCTGAAGACAGACAGCAAGACGGACAGACAGAAAAGGAGAGAGAGGTGTGTGTGTGTGTGTGTGTGTGTGAGTCTCTCTCTGTGTGTGTGTGTGTTGCACTGTGTGTTTGTAGGTTTCTCTCTGTGCGTGTGTGTGTTTATATGTGTGTGTGTGTGTGTGTGTGTGTGTGTGTGTGTGTGTTGCACTGTGTGTTTGTGTGTGTAGGTTTCTCTCTTTGCGTGTGTGTGTGTGTGTGTGTGTGTGTGTGTGTGTGTGTGTGTGTGTGTCTGACCTGCAGGCTGCCACAGAAGTGGTAGATGGGGTCTGTGTTGATAGCGTTGTCGAGGGTGTTGGGGTTGCGTTGGTTCTTCCTCTGGGAGGGGGGGGTGGTCGTCTGCACCGGGGACATCGGCTGCCAAACGCCAACATCTGTCCCGTTCCCAAACGCCTGGATGGCATTACCTGTGGAGGAAATTACAAACGTATTACAACCCATCATTGGTTGGGGGTGAGTGGTGGACATGAAGTAAAGGATGTCAGCAAGAAAATAAAACACATCAATGCTCGGCAGGCAATCATGTGACTGCAGGTGGACGATTGGTGCCACCTGCAGTCAACTGAACCAACCAGGTGGCTTTTCTTTTAAGAATATACAATATTCAATAGTAATGATGTGACTTATAAGTCATGTGACCACAGTGGCTCTTTGCATTAGCCTTTAATACAACGGGAGAGTTTCCTAAATGATCATCCGTACAGGTGGCAGGATATTGAAATGTCCTTGTTTACTACATTTCCGTTTTAAAACAGTTTAATAAGGTTACAAGTTGACTTTCACACAGGACGCAAACAACCACATTAATTCGGTTTAGTTCATTTAACGGGGACCTACATGTATCATGCAAAATGCACTTTTGTAGGTCTTTTAAACATGAAGATGTGTCCCCGGTGTTCCAGGGAACTCACCAAGTGTCAGAAAACACAACCCTCTCTCTTTTCCTCCATACCCAAATCTCTAAAAACGGGGCTGCAACGGATCTGATACAGACTGATCCAGATTTGAACACTGTCCTGACGTCAGGACGGTGGTGCTACGGCTATTGGTCAATTCTCCACCTATCAGGGGAATGTGGGGTTGGGCCACAGCCGGCCATTGCTGCTCGAAAGTGCTGGAGACGCTGTAGTACATATGCCAGGCCTGTAAGTGGCGCTGTAGTCTGCCACAAAAGCAGCGAAGAAGACTTCCCTTGCATGGTTGCCATGGTTGCCCTTCTGTTTATTCTCCGCTGTGGCTCTTTTTCTCCCTCCCCGAGGCAAGCCTTTGCGCCTCCTGCTTTAAAACAAATGAATAATGACTCTATATAATCATATGTAAGGGATAATGTGCAGCGACGCGGTCATTATGGGGAAAAGAACACCGACAGGCCGATCAGGAGCCCGACGCGAAGCGGAGGGATCTAGATCGGCATGAAGGTGTTCTTATCCCCATAATGACACATTATCCCGCTTATCACACGGCCACATTCTCAACAAAGTAACAACATGAATCCCAATATTAATTGAAATGCTTTTATGGATTTAGAAAATGATTTTATTGATTTAAAAAATAGTTGTATGTATTGATTTAAATTGACATGCATCCGCTAAGAAAAATAGTCCGTTGTTACCGTTTGAACTAACGTAGCAACGGCAGGAACTGCTTCGAGAGCGTTTTTGAGGAGCTTTTTGATTACAGATTTGAAAACATCGCTGCTTGCTTTAAAAGTAGCACACTTCATTAAGTCAAACCTTGGGAAGTCTCTAGATATCCCTGCCCTAATGCCAAAGGAACTGCCCGCTCCCCTCTCCTGCAGGGGGGCGTGGTCAGCTGCAGGGGGGCGTGGTCAGCTGCAGCTCACAGAATCAGCCCCCTGCAAAAACAGGGCTGGAAAGAGCAAATAGAGCGAAATGAGGCATGGCTAAAATGCAGGATCTGTTTGGTATTTTGAAAAAAAAACTATATTTATATAGTTTATATAGGTATGGCCCTACAATATATGTTTCAAATATAGCATGATAGGTCCACTTTAAGTAACTTTAACTTAATTTGAAATAACAGAGTACCCCATCACCTCCACCTCACTTCTAACTATATTTAGACACGTTTTATTTGAAGTAACCTAAACCTTAAAATGACTTCCTGTTCCCTCATCTCAAAGTTAGTGTTTTTTTTAACTTGTTATTAGTGAGAAGCCTTAAATAAGGTCCGGGTCGGCCTACAAAAATACTCAATCTGGACTAGAGGTCGCAGCATTACAATTCACGTAAACATCTGATGTAATAATATGCTTGATTTTGGGGAAAACACTCTTTACCATAACTAATATTTGACTCTTGGTCTAAACTCAGTCTGCCTCTGCATCGTGCTGAGCTGGTGCATAATTAGTTTTATTAGCTACAGCAGAAGTACTGCGCTGTAACTCTGATTGGTCACAAAGCTGCATCTTATCATCAATCACACGCTTAGTTAGTCCCTACGTTAAAATAAAGCTTTTATATCGCCGCGGCCCAAACCACAATTAAAGGCGAGTTAGAAGGTACTTAAGCTTTGTTATCACTTCCCGACATTATAAATTCACCGCACAGTCAGACAGTAGAGTGCTGATGTGGCGATTTACCATTACAGTGCATTAGTGGCCCTATTAATAGCTTTCTATGGCTTTGATGTACACACACACACACACACACACACACACACACACACACACACACACACACACACACACACACACACACACACACACACACACGCACACACACGCACACACACACACACACACACACACACACACACACACACACACACACACACACACACACACACACACACACACACACACACACACACAAGCACACTGCTGTTTGAACGTAAAGATATTCCGACACTCGACTATGACCCCGATACTTTGGTGAAGTAAAGAAGAGCTGATCTGCATAACGGCTCTTTAACCCGTCTGAAATATTAATACATGCAGAGACTCTCAGTCTGCACGATGTTCAGCAGGGATTCATATTAGATACTGGATCAGGGCGATGTATTTCACGTGTTTTTGGGCTAAATACACTACTACACATACTGTACTGTCAAATGGACACTTATAACACTAAATGATTTATAAAAGAAAATAATAGTAATAAAGTATTGCATGCATTAAGCTTTCACAGAGGCATTGAGGCAAAGGGGAATCACAAAGCCATGTTTTCTTTTATGTTTAATTTCAGAAACTGTCCGAATAACTACTAATTTTACTACCAGACAAATCTTTCCTTCATCGCTTGTCTATTTAATTCACAATTGCATTACTTCTTCTAATCTTAAACAGGTAACACTTCACTTTACAGGTCCTGCAAATGTTTTAGTAAGTAGCTGATAATAAGATATCTGTAATTTGGGAATGTATACCCCACTACAGGAAAGGGAAGACCCCAGAAAGCATAATAGGGTCTCTTTAAAGGTCATCTATCATGCTATCTTTAGGCAATAGCATAGGTCTCAGATACAAATATATAAAAAACATGTCTATGAAGTGTTTTGCTCAAAATACCAAACAGATCATTCTAGCCATGCCTCATATCCCTCTATTGTTTCAAAAGTACTGATTTGGGTATAAAGCTTTAAAGAGGAGGGGTCTGAGCTCGTGCGGGACCCGGCAGCTACTGTCTAAAGGAAATGCTGCCGTGATGAAATGCCATATCATGGATTATCAAGGATTCTCTCTGAAACAGTTTGGAGCTCAAAGGCTTTCTCTCTTGCCGGTTACACCACAAGGTGAGTTCCTTTTTACTTCCTGCTTCTTCACACACATGCTCTCCAGCACAGGTTAGCTCTGAGTGTTAGCGATGCTAATGTAAACACCGACCATATTACGTCCAAAACAGTCGGGCATTGTTTCTGATAGCAACGTTTCTGATTGGGCCGTGGGTCCACATTTCAGATATTACGTCATATCGGACGCAAATCTGGATCAGCTCCGTTGTTCCCCGTTTTTAGAGATTTGGGTACGGAGGAAAAGAGAGAGGCTTTTATTTCCTGACGCTGCGTGAGTTCCCTGACGCACCGGGGACACATTGATTTATAAAGGACATCAACAAGTGCATTTTGCATGATAAGTCCCCTTTAAGTAAAAGGTACCAGTTTATTCTCACCTTTAGATAAATAGATAGAGACTCTTTCGTAACAGTGTGTTCAGATATTAATATACAAATACTTAAAAAGTGGAATAGAGAAATAATTAAAATTAAAAATCAACTGAAAATGAGATATAAAATAGTGCAGTAGTAGAAATATAGGCGTATACTACAGGAGCATTAACATACTGTATATACATAGGATAGTATATCATTTACAGATATACAGAATATTGCAAATTGTTCATGGTCATTAGGAGGAGAAACTCAAACTATCTGATCGCCGCTCCGACTAATTATAACATTGTGTTTTTGTTTTTTTTGTTAAGTAAATGACGGTTCACTTGAACTGAATTTCATGCAAGTGCACTCCGCTCTGCATCAGCCAAACGGCTCGCTGCACCCTCGCTGCGAGGGGGACCCAAGTTCCCATCAGCAAAAACACGTGGGTTTGCTGTCCTGGCTCCAAGATGGTGGAATGAGCTCCCCATTGACATCAGGACAGCAGATAGCTTACACACCTTCCAGACTGAAAACTCATCTCTTTCGACTCCACTTCGAGCGATAGAACTATTAACAAAGCACTTTTATACTAATAAAGGACTGGCTTACCTAAAGCCAGTTGAGTAGCACTTGAAATGTTTGGCTCTATGAAACCTGATGTACTTTATGATTCTGTTTTCCTCAAGGTTGTATTTTGTTGGTCGAACGCACTTATTGTAAGTCGCTTTGGATAAAAGCGTTAGCTAAATGTAATGTAATGTAAAAGTGAGTATCTAGACGTGCATGTAAATATATTATTGGACACGATTAAACATGTTTTCTGTCTCATCGTCCTCTTTCTTCTCCTCTCTGATAAACTCATCCCGACCTCCAAAGAACATTTGAGTTATTTCCACTTTAATAAATGTGATTATAAATCTTAAACTAAGTAGATCCAGAGAGTCCCTCCCTTCATCTGCTGAGCTGGATTTACCTCCGGTGAGAGCAGACATCCAAAAAAATGTTTTGTTCCCGTCCCAGAAATGACTTTTAAATAATTAAAAGAGGAACATTTATGAATGACTGAACAGAAACAAGTGATACACTGGCTTTTTAATCATCATTAGTTTGTTAAATTCCTACTTTGTTGGTGTTTAAATGTAAGCAGTAAGCACACAGTAGGCATAACAGGACAAACCACGTCTCTGAGTTAACAAATATTTAATTTCCATCAGAATAACAATCCCTATTTTTATATTTCCTTGTAAAATAAAGTATATTTCAAAAAGCTGACGACATGTGCTAGCATTGTT